TTGTGCCCAAATGTGCCATGTTTAGGTGTGTCTTGGAATTTTCTTGCACTCGAAGTACATTCCGATTTTGTTTATTTTATATGGTGGTAGACACTTTGTGGGGAGAGGTTCCCCCACACACACACCCCAGCTTCCTGGTAGTAACCATGTTCAAATTCCAGAACATCCTTGGGAGTAATGAAATGTATTCCTCTGAGCATTTAACTGGCTTCCGAATTTGAAATTACTAAGTTTTCAGTATGATTCCAGTAGTCAAAACAAGTGTTCAATGTTAAGTGCATGCTATTGTAGGATAATCGATTTATTTGTATTTTTCAGATATGAAGCAACAACATGTCATAGAAACCTTGATTGGCAAAAAGCAACAGATCTCTCTAGCAACACAGATGGTTAGAATGATTTTGAAGATTGACGATATCCGCAAGCCTGGAGAGTCTGAAGAATAAAGAAAAAATTCAGAATAAAATGTAGTAGTAAGATTCACTACTGTGACTAAATAAAAGGGTGTCGTATGGTGCATCTACGGTTATTTATTACTGTGTTCTTTTTCAGACACTGTAGATGCTGTAATAAAAATAGTGGTTTGGTAGTCATAGTTTCACTTGTTCAAAGACGTAATTGTAGGGATGCTGTCTCACAATCTTCTGTATTTGTTATATTAAAAGGATCTCTTTTAAAACCACTTTTATCTTGCTCTTTAATAAGCATTCACTGTAATCAAGTGCTGCCTTCATTCAAGGAGTTTGTTGTTTTTAAAAAGCTCTAGGAACTGTTTTAACAGCTTAACCATTGATGTTGTTCTTGAGATTGATTTTAACATTGAGGTGAGTATGGGCTTGACCCTACTAAGTATATTTGCACGCACCTATCTAAATGGGTGGATCTTTTGATTACAGAGACCTGTCATAGGTGAGAGTTTCTATCTCGTAATTATGGTGTGTCTCAGGTGCCATTAGGTACAGTTACACCAACATAACCTTGGACGTTACCACAGTGCTGCTAAAACTGGCGTTGAAAATTTATAGTCCCTGTTGCTTTATTCCAGACCTGGTCCCACCCTGAACGCAAGCCAGCTTGTGTGTGGAGAAGGCCCAGGCTCCCACAGCACCCGCAGGTGCTCAGAAGCACAAGCCAGAACCAGTGGAGGCTTTCTTAATCAGAGGGAAAGAACAAGTGGAGGTTGGAGTGCAAGGAAATGTCTTGGAATTGCCACGTGTAACTAAACTGCTACTGAGTATTTAGTAAAATAACTGACCAACGGTGGCTGTCGTTACCACCAGCTAGGTCTTGTTTTGAAGAGTACTTCAGTTTACTCTCATCCTATGAAGGAGATCCATTTCTTTTTATTCACATTTCATCAGTGAGATTTGATCATTTGCCAGACAGTGTCATGGCTGGTAAGTTGCAGAGCCAGGTCAAACCTTGCCAGCCTGACTCCATCTAGTTCCGCGCTCATCCCCTGTACTGCCTTGCTTGTACGGTTCTCTGGGTTTTCTGAAAGAATGCTGCCTACGGGGAATCATCATGATAAAAGTTCACCTACATGTCACCAGGGGATTTGCTTGTAAGACGAGTCTGATTTCCTAAAATCAGGAAATGGTGATTCTTCCTGACCAAAGTGTCAGGGTTACCCTCCTGTGAACCTGGGTGCTGACCAGTCTTCAAATCTTGGGTCTGTGTTTTCTCTACATGAATGCAGTGGTTGGTTTGCTAAACAAGTACACTGAGGATTTGGGAGTAAGTGCTAGTATCACTTTTCCTAACCTTAGAATGTTTATAGAACTAGACAATTGAATATGGAAAGCTTAAACCTATTGGACATACACACTAGTGTGTATTTCATCATATAATGAATGGTAAAGTCACATCACTGTAATTTGTGCTCCTACCTCCTCAACGCTGCATCAGGATGCACCTATTTTAAGAGCAGGTTCTCGTTAGACCTGCTTAGATCATTGATGCGGCAGGGTGAGTTGATTTATGAGGACTGATGCCAGCCGGCAGAGAAGGTAGAGCACCTGGCTTTGGACCAGTCTCTTGGCTGAAGGGGTTTGTGGTTGTGTGAGAAAAGCCACTGACCCACACTTCCCTTCCAAAAGCCTCACAAATGTTCCTGGCACTTACTTACATGGTTGAGAAAAAAAACTACGTGGCCTATGAACAGGGAACCGAATAGAGATGTTTCATAGCTGTTGATTTTAATTCATGAAAAAGACCTCTTGAAGGCACCATTCCTGTTATCTTCAGATTCCAGATCACTTGGCAAGCATCTCACCCCTTGTACGTTAGACCCCACCCCAGTCTCATCTTGTGTGTGGCAAGAGCAACTAAAGGTACTCACGTGCCTGAGGTCAGTTCCCACAGGACCACCCTTTCCCTTTTGGTTCCCAGTGCCTATGCTGGCTGGGCTGGGTTGGTGTTTTAAAGAGCCTGATCGTTGTAAATAGGACTGAAAAGTGCAAATGTGTCTGGAAGGACCAAGAGGTTAGTCTGTTACACGTGACTGACGTCCTTTTATCTTTTTGCCTTGTTCTGTTCTTGTGAACAGGGGTTGGGCATTTTGGGATGGGAATGGCACTAATTAAACAGTAAACTCATAGATTATTTGTAAGCATGGAGAAGTGTTTCTCCATCTTGGGTGATCTTGCAGGCAGCCTTGCAAGATGGGGATCATCTAAATCACCAGAAAAAGGGGTACCAAAGGCAACTGGCTGCTTAAAAAATGGCCAGTATAGTGAGGCTGTCTCTTCAGTAGAACAGCTGTCTTAGTTCAGGCTCCTGGAAGAAAAATGGCAGACTGAATGACTTAAACAGTAAACATTTCTCACAGTTCTGGAGGCTGGACGTCCACCATCAAGGAGCTGGCTGGTCCAGGGTGTGGCGAGGACCCACTTACCAGCGCACAGACAGCCACCTACCTACTTGTAGTATCTTTGCATGGCCCAGAGAGAGGAGAGATCTCTATCTCCCAGCGATGTTCTTCCCAACCCCCACCCCGTTTTTTTAAACTTTTTGAAACTCCATGATTTTCATGTGAGTTCTAGTCCTCGTGCATCTCCGGCTGGGATGGCGGCATCTCGCTACTCTGAAGATATATAGTCCCCACCACAACCCAAGTACTTCCCACACTGATGATACTTCCCACAGGAGACCATTCGCCCAACAACCCCGCCCACAAAGTGATATCATTCTTTGCATTTTATAGATTTTACATGGAGAAAAACAATTAGGTACGCACTAGGGCCCGGGCACTGTGAGCTCTTGCACTCTACGCCCATCCTGCCTCCCCCTCCTTCCCTCTGCCCATATCTGGCAGGTGGTCCACGTGAAGCTGCCTCTGCTGCCCAGCCCACAGGCCTCCACACCCCCTTTCTTCTCTGTGCTCAGTCTGGGGACCCAACCAGTCCAGGCCGAGGACTCACCCAACTTCAGCTCACACTCACTCCCAGCCTCTTTGATGACATATACGGGAAACCAGCTGGAGGATTTCGGGAAAGAGTTCCCTCCCTAACAAAAAACGGATGCAAAAAGAGAGCCCTTCCCACTCTTCCTGCTTGGCTGGTGTTTTGTGAGGCAGAGACCCAGGGCCATGCTGGCGAGCAGGGCCTGGAATGGCAGGCACCTAACCGTGCTTTGACGCCAGTAAAGCCTTGAGCCACTCAAATCCGTTTTGAGGTGGTGCAGGGCAGACTTCAGTGTTATTCTCTTAGCTACGGCTAGTTGAGCCACTGTTGGTCAGCCTTTCCATTATGGGCAGCCCAAGAAAGCCTAACTGATACTCTGGAACGAACCAAAAGGCAAACTTTCCTCCACAGTCATGCTTCTCTTCTGGCACTCCTTGCCCTGGATTATCTTTAAGATGACCTCGGATACTTAGTGCCCTGCGTCAGACGGCTTCCACTTACGTCACAAAATAAGTCAGAAAGCAAGTGGAATCAGGCCACTCACCCTCCCTCATCCCTCCCTCTCCAGAGGGCCCATCTGTCACTCCACTGCTCTCACAGAAGGAGCTAAAACCACCAGCAAGCTGGGACCCTGCAGCCCCACCCAGCAGTGAAAGAGGAATGGGTATGGCCCCTGAGTCTCCAGGGCTCCTTCCTGCCCCACATCTTCCATGATTTGCCCTCCAGGAGCCCCAGGACTAACAAGGAATGGCCCCACACTGGACGTGGCACACGGGGATGAAAGCCCCGCCCTCCACCCAGGACCCAAGCAAACCCCCTCCCCATTCTCCCACACAGTGGAGGGAGGCTACTGAGAGCACAGGCCCGCATGGGCTGGACACTAAGCAGCCCTTCTGGTGTCTGCGGATGTGAGAGGGTCTAGTGGGAGGGACTGTCTAGGCTTGGTCAGTCTCCCAATAAGCATTCTCAGCAGGACCCTGAGGGAGACCAACCGTGGTGCTGTCACACGCGGGACAACAGAATTAACAGAAAGTCAACAGGAGCAGCTAGAGGTTTCGAAGCACCTTCACTAGGGTGGGTGAGCACGGCCCAGTACTGTTCCCAGGGCCCACACACGGGGGCTGCTGAGCGACCAACATGTGGCAGGGCTACTCAGGAGCTGAATTTTGTATTTGACTTCATTCTAACTAATTCTGATTGCATGCAAGAGTGATTTTTGATGCAGCCCTGCCCCCCTGAGACCCAAAAATGCCTAGGAGGAAGCTTTTATAAAAAGCCACAAATTCAAAAAGTTTATTAGCTTGATATAATTAGGCCCATGGAACCATATTTTCATCTTTATTTTTTGTAGCCCCATATATGAACATGAAATTTATTTGTATTAAGACAATGATAAATGTCTAATGAAGCTGGGCTTTCATTCGATCTGAGTTTACAGATCATGTCACCTTGGCTTTGCAACATGAGTCATTGGAAAGGTCGTCCTCCATTACGGCCCAGGAAGGCCACACCTGAACCGTCAGCTGGCCCGAAACAGCCCCGGGGGTTTCATTAACAGGATGTGACTCTAGCAATCAAATTCTTCAGGGACTAACCTACTTTTACAATTTTTATTTCTTACGGAATTTGTTTCAGATGAAATCATGAATTTCAGGATTCTTTGATTTATTTTCTACAAAGTAGAAATGATATAAGTATTCCCAAGCCCATTTCTGAACAAAAGCCATCCTGAGAAAAGTTTGCACTGGCCACTGCTAAACATACTTGTTCAGCCATTCGAGTAAATTCCGTCTTGCCTCGTCAACGTAGGGCTTGTCTTCAGATGAACAATCTTCTCTCTTTCGATGCACGAACCCATGGGTTTGCCCAGAAAATGTTTTAATTTGATATTCCACTTTGCAATGTTCTTTTAACTTCTGGGTCAGCGAAGAGACCTGGTATGCAAAGATTTTCATGATGAAATGATTCTAACCCTCTAGTAATATTTTCCAATCTCTCAATCTTCTGTGAATGCTCATAAAAGAGATTTAACATCAGTGCTTTAAATTGAGTTCCACAGCCATAATGAATTTTTTACTTTTAATGTTATAACTAACACAGCCCTTACCTCTGGGAAAGGAGAGAATTCAGGGCAATATAAAAATGACATGACATCGACTCTTTGAAATTGTGTTAATATATACCTTTTTTTATCCTGACCTGAAGACATTTTTTTCATTACTTTTAGAGAGAGAGGAAGGGATAGAGGGATGGAGAGAGAGAAACATCAATTCGAGAGAAAAGCATGGATTGGTTGCCTTCCACACGCACCTGCCCAGGGAATCATACATGCCTAACTGGGGATGGAACCTGTAACCTTTTGGTTATGGGACAACACTCCAAACAACAAAGCTACACCAGCCAGAGCTGTATTAATATATCTTACGTAACATATTCTATATAATACAATATTCAGAACATAATTTCATTTACTCAAGTGTATAATAGTGAATATATTGAATATAAAATGTAATATACGCAAGCATAAAATATTCGAAATGTGTATGAACATGGGTTATGAATACCAACACTAATTTTCCAGACGACTGCTTTTGGACCAGTTTTCTTCTGCACGCTTCTGGGCAACTTGAGGACTGAACAGGTGAGGACAGGAGGCGGGGCCTCAGCTATGCCCAGTAACTGGATCACACCAAGAGCATTGGGGGCGGGGGGGAATACAATCCCACTCCAAGTCCCCAGTGAAGTCCAGCTTTAAAACTTAATGGTGCCCCTGGCCAGGTGGCCGTTGGTTGGAGCGTTGCCCATTTGTTCACCAAAAGGTTACAGGTTCGATTCCTAGTCAGGGAGCAAATGGGAGGCAACCAATCCATGTTTCTTTCTCTCTCTTGTCTCTCTCTCTTCCTCTCTCTCCACAAATCAATAAACATATCCTCGGGTGAGGATTAAAATATTTTTTTAGCCCTGGCTGGTGTGGTTCAGTGGATCGACCCCTGGCCTATCAACCAAAAAGTTGCCAGTTTGATTCCTGGTCAGGACACACGCCTGGGTTGTGGGCCAGGTCCCCAGCTTGGGGCGTGAGAGAGGCAGCCAATTGCTGTTTGTCTTGCACATCGATGTTTCTCTCCCTCTCTTTTTCCCTCCCTTTTCCTTTCTCTAAAAATAAATGAATAAAATCTTAAATTTTTTTGTTAAAAATAAAAAATGCAGAAAAATATTTGAAGCAACCAGTGAACCTTTTAGTTGTGTTTCCCCCAAAATGTCAACTCATGTTATTAAATACAGGAATGCAACAGGAAAGATGCCAACTTACTTGCTCGAGAGGAATCACAGCATCGTTCTCAGCAAAAATGAACAACGTGGGGTTCTTCAAACTGTACACGTCTTCAGAATCCTTGACGATGCCTACAGGATGGGGACAGGGACACAAGGCATGAGTGCCATCCATGCACACGTCACAGAAAACTGCCGAATTCTGTCGTGTGTCATGCACTCCCATGTGTACTGCACACCCGCATTTTGGCCCAAACTTTCAGGAAAAATAATCTTCCATTTCAGCTGTTCAATTCAATTATTTATTTATGTATGTATATTTAGAAATGAAACCGGTTTTCATATCATAGGGTACTATTTTGCATACAGGTATCCTTATTGCTTTCTAGAGTTACACTTTCAATACATAAACATAAATAAAAAATTTAAAACATTTATATATATTATATATATATATATATATATATATATATATATATATATAACTAGTACTATCCATGTAAAATGCACATCCTTATATTTCCCTCAAAAATTTGGACAAAAAAACATAAGCATTATACACAGCAAAATACAGTATGTGGCTTTCCTTCAATTTTTCAAAGTAAAATATGTGCTTTTGGGGGTTTACTTTCTTTTTAAAAGCAATTTCATAGACGTGGGCTGCCCTGTAAAATTAGTCTCAAAGAGAAGCCTGTCCAGTAGGGATCTGTGCACAAGGAGCAGGGTGGGGGGCAGAGGGTGGATAGAAAACTACGAGGAAACATGGGGGTAGGGGAGGTTCCTGCTGAAGGCAGGCCAGGTGACGAGGTACAGACAACAGGGGATGAGGATCTGATTAGATATCAAAGGTGAGGGATTCTCACTGCACTGACCCAGGAAGCCAAGGGCCGGGTCCAAGGACAGAGCCCACACAGAGAGAGGACTCACAGGAGTCTGATTCAAGTGTGGTCAGTAGGTGTGAGAAAATAATGGGTGGCTTTTTTTCCCCCTCATTTCCTGTTGGCAGCATAGCGAAACTAAGTAACCTAGAGAGCCTCTCCTCACCTATAAATTCTTTCCAGAAGGCAGGAAGCCACGGGAAAGATGACCATGCTCCCTACCCCCTACAAAGCTGTAGTGATTTGATTCCCCTAGGCCTCGAGTCCTGCTACGCTCTGCACCTTGTGTATTGCACAAGAGTCGCCAGAAGGGGGCGCCAGAGAGCCATCCAAGCAGAGCACCTTTTGCTAATTCACAGAGACTACGGGTTCTAGCAAACCCGATGACAACTGGAAATTTATTTCTTCCGTGTAAGTAAATACTTAAAGGGATATTTTAATGCTGAAAGTAAGCGAAAATACCACAGTGCAGAATCATTAAGCCATATTTTATGAAAGAAGGCCAAATATCTTTTTTTAACTTTCTTTTTTTGTATGTGTGGCTGAATGTTTCTTTGAGGAGGGCATCAATAAACCCATAATTTATGTATAAACAGTGTGTATTTACTCTTACATGTTTAAACTTCAGTCACCTTCAAAGTACTCTCCATTTGATGCAATACACCTATCGAGACTCTTTTTCCACTGCTCAAAACGGTTTTTTAATTTGTCAACTTTGACACTTTTTAGTGCCTCTGCTGTTTTTTGTTTCACCTCTCACACACTGGCAAAAAGTTTCCCTTTGAGGACTCTATTCATCCAGGGGAACAAAAAAAATCGCCCTGGAGAGATTGGGTGAATAAGGAGTGTGGGTCACAGGGGTTGTGCTGTTTGGGGTTAAAAACTGCTGAACACTCAGTGCGGAGTGGGCAGGTGCGTCCTAAATCACCCATCGTGAAATGGGCAAATGTGTTGCAAGTCTCCAAAAAAAATCACTGAAGCCAAACTCGGCCTCTCACAGCATCACTTGGTCCACTGATACGGGTAGGTCCCCAAAACACTCAGGTATCGAGGAAGCCTGTGGAACAAGGGGCCTGCCCCCCAGGAGATAATCTGGGATTTACTCAGGTCACCCCTCAGATATCATGAATTTAATACACCATTCCACACACAGATACAATGTTCCTATCAGTGCCGTGATACCTGTGGATTGCTTGGGCTGACATGTTTATGTTGCTATTTACATTTTAGAGTTGGTTTTTCTTTTCTTCCCTCCTTTACAGAGCGTGCTCCTGTGTGTGTGTATGTGTGCATGTGCACATGTATACACATGCATGCAGTTGAGAATTTGTGTCTTGGAAAAGTCTCTGCGTAGATATTCCTCATGAAAATATTGCTTGGTATTGACTGCTGCCACAGAAATAAATGTTATCCCCTTCATCCTCAGTGAAGAAACTGAGACGTCAGCTTAAGTGGCTTTCCCAGAGTAACAGCACTGTTGGGACCCAGGTCTCCCCACTCCCCATCTCGACTTTCAGATTTTTACAGCCACTTTCATGACTATTGGGTTTATGTCACACCTGGGACCCTTAGCTTGGCCATGGTTCTGGTCACCCACAAATCCTGCTGTTATCACTCTGTAAACCCGCACAAGGCATGTTTACCGTAGACGGACACCCCTGCCCTGAACTCTGCGTATTTCATCATCACATGATGGACAGCAACTCCTCCCCAGCAGAATCCCACGACGCCGATCTTCTGGGCATGACACTGCTGTTTCAGATACCTCAAGACAGCATCGACCTCTCTAGAACAGAAAGAACAGTTATTCGAGAATCCAGAGGTCTTGTGTGAGGCCTTGGGAAGGGCACCAGGCAGCTAACGGGGCTCTGTCAGCAGCTGTTCCTTGAGGTTCTGAGAGTCTGACTTTTGGAGCCCTCCTCACCACCCCCTGCCCATGTGACGAGTGACGTCCACCTCTCCTGGGAAGTCTCCCTGCCAAACCCAGCTCCTCAACCACCTGACAGGGCTGCAGGAGGGCTCTTTCCAAAAGGCCAGGAAATCTGACCAGCTCACTTCCCAGCTGAAAGCTGAGTGACAGCCTCCCCAGCCTCAGCGTACAGGACAAAGGCCACAGCATGGCTCTAAGACCGGACCCCAAGATCTACCCCTGCCTGGCACCCCACTCTCCTCTGAACAGGCACCAGCCACAACTGGGCAGCTCCCCCAATGGTCTGACTTGGCACATTTGCTCCTCCTCACACCCCACTCTGCATCACATGTCTCCTGTATCAAAGAGCAAAGCAAGATCTGGAAAGCCACCAGGACTGTGTAAGCCGTGAAGGGACCAAGGACAACGGCCCTCGTCTTGCAAATGGTTCATTTGCAGATTGGCCATTTGGAACCACTCAGAAGACATTTTCAGCTAGAAGCAATGATCTTAATCCAAGGGTCGTGGTTATCCGAGTCCTACTTAAAGGAAGGGTAGGTGTCTGGACAGTGCAGCCTGGCTCACTTTTCCCTCCGAACTCCAGACTCTGCTCTCGCTGGTGCCCTAGGGGCACCACAAACAGCCCTCCAAAACTTACTTATCGATATTCCTGGCATTTCGTGTTTTCAACCACTCCGGAAAGGTAGACCAGTCCCCAGAGGGGTGCCAAGGCTCTTGCCCTACAAAGAAGTCTGGAACGATGGTTCTGCAAATTGGGAACATTAACTGATATTAGTTTCATTGTTGTTAGGACTCGTTATTTGCTTATATTCATTAAAAAAACTTGCTGTGTTGGTGATTCATGCTCCCAGGAAAAGTCACGGCCCCAAGGGCCAACTTTGATCACAGCAAAGAAGCCAATGGCACTAGGCCAGACCATATCAGATGTCACAACCAAAGGTGCATGACCTCTGGCAGGCTGCTTGTAGCCCAGTCCATCTAAAATGACAAGGCTATTCAGCAGGGCACATACCCCACGAGACAAGGGGACCCACTAGTGAGGGCCTGGAGCAAGGTGGCTACCAGAGTCCCTCCTGTCCCCAAAACTCTCAGCTGGCCTTTCACATTAGCCTCAGGTCAGAATGACACACCTGGTTAGCAAGTCCAGTCACTATGAACAAGCAATTTCCCCCGGCTCCGCCCAGTAGGCCAACCAGGCACAACTCCTGCTGAGCAAGGAGGAGGGTTGAATGAGGGTTCTAGGAAAGGCTGCGGTGGGGGAACAGCCATCCTGCCTGAGCCCGTGGCCGGTGTAGGGGTGGAAAAAACTTCCTTCCTTTCTAGGTTCTTTGGGTGGCCTAGTAATTAAAGCGACACAAGGCAATGAACAGGCAAAAACAAATTCAATTTTGTGGATGAGAAAAGGAGTTCTATGGGAAGTAATTCCACAGGGTGATCTGATCATAAGTTCCTAACTGGACAGGTAGGTCGTGGTGGGTAGTCACAGCCCAGGCACTTAACATTTTAGTAAAAGGTTTACCTTTGCCTGAAGCAAGTCCTGGCCTTTGTTTCTGTGCATCTAGGTTAACAGATCTTCGAAATACGCACCACCACCCTCAAGAGAGCACATCACGTAATCTCCCTCTCGTTCTTGTCATTCTGTTCCTACCTTCGTGGAATTCCTTACATTCCCTTCTTAATTCCAAATGCCTAAACGAAGCTGCGGGAGTGTTATTCTCGGAAGCATTTAGAGCTTGCTTCCCAGTACATCTTCAGTTTGGCTCAAATAAACTCACAAAAATTATCTGCAGGTCTGAACATTTCTTACATCAACAATTTCACACTCAGGAGAGCCCCCAGAAAAATAGGACACCCAAAGGCAGTGAGGAAATTGAGACTTATATTGCCATCCTGAGCTAAGGACCAGATTATGGGTTTGGGGCTTCAAAGGAAAGAGTAAGTCACAGGACAATAAGAAGAGCAGATGTATGGTAATTACATGTTTGTCCTGCCACGCAGGTAGGTCATTCAGGTACAAGTTATCTTTGGTCATAGGTCTCTCTCTGGATCAGGCTGCCTACTAAACTTTTTTAGGTAGTTAAGGGAGGGGTAAAAGTGTTTCCTGAGTCTGCTGGATCGCGACTGCCTTCAGCTTAAAACAATCCCCACACCCAAGTGGCGTAACCGGGGGCAGCCGATTCTGCTCCCCTTCACAATCTCCCATGCCGGTCAACCTAGGAGGATGAGGCCAACGCTGATCTGGCCAGAGACCTGTTTCCTAAAATAAGGGGGCATCGCCCACCACAGATAAGGGGACACAGGTCCTTCTGCAGGGGTGGAGAGAACACTGAAATCTGGGTCAGAAGAATGTAAATTCCAGCACCAGCCCTGCATCAGCTGCCCCATATTCTTAAGTCATTTGACCACTTTCAGCCTCATTTTCTCCTGACAGAGACTGCACGCAGCACCGCCCAACCTCAGAGAGTTATTCTGAGGGCAAAACGACTCTACGAGTACAAAAGGGCTTTGTAAATCCCAGGCGACCTTACTGACCTGACGTCAGCTAAAGGAACTACCTGAAACAGCAGAGGCCGCGATCCCGTTCCATCTGCCGGTGGCTTCCGAACGACTGAGGCAAACAGGCCTCTCTCAACGCGCCTTGGTTTTCCAATCAGCAAAACCATGACAGTGCCTCCCCGGAGGGGTCACTGGGGGGACTGCGGACAACAGCCTCGTAACTGCCTTAGCGCAGGGCCCGACTCAGCTGGAGACAGTCTCGGGGCTGGTTCTCTTTTCTGCTGTTGTTTTATTTTGTGTTTGCGTTGTTTATGTTTGTGTTTGTTTTGTTACTGGGCTTGCCCCTGAGAAGTTAAGTTACCTCATCCTTAGAAAGAAATTGGGGGCATGAAAACGTGAAAAATCAAGGGAAAGTCCTCTTTTTGGTAAACACTAAATTTGCATCCCACGGCAGGGGGTCTGCTCCCTTTAAATCGGGTCTCCTTCTTAGGAAACCAAGGAAGGCGCGCCCTTTGATCTCCAGCTTCTCTTTCAGAGAAAACAAAGGAGGCTGGAGTGCTCCAAACTCAGGGCTTGCTGGGGTCTGTGCTTTTGAAGCTGGAGGGGAAGGAGCAGTCCCTCTATTCTGAGTTTTACTGAAACTGTTACCAGGGTGGTGAAAAGCAAACAGGGAACAGCTTTAGCCCCTCGAATGGACAAAGGAGTAACCTTTGGGAGAGGAGGGAGTGCTCACTGTGCCGTTCTGGAATCCAGCTGAGCTCAGACAAGACCCTGCCAGTTCAGGTGGAGACCAAGGTAGCTGCGGGTGCCCTGCCTGTGAAGTCTGACTCGAGGCCGACGTGCTTCAAGGGCCAGTGGGTTCACTTCAGAGCTGGTGACATCTGCCCAAGGGCACGTGTCCTGTACCTGCTCTGGCAGGGCCCCACAATGAGGTCACTCTTAGGAAGGTCTGAAGCCCAGGGATTAGGTTGGGGAGCAGGTAGCTTCCGTTGGACAGGTGAGTGTTTAATTTTCATATGACATTCCCCATTCAGCTGCACCCCAGAGACATAAGGAAGTAGATAATGTAAATTAGAATACAGCCAGGCCCTTTTGATTTGGGTTTTGTTTTCCTCCAAGGGAACAAAATATAGATCACAGAAATTTACATGGATTTAAGCAAAGAAACAACTTTATACGCACGTGTATCCATTTCCAGCAATCATGTCAGCCATATATCTGGTATTGGGCAACTGCCAGCCAAATATGTCTTGAATGACAATCACGGCTTTGCCAGCGTCAACAGGGCATCTGGTGACATAAGCCTTGATGTGCTCAACTTGAACTTCATGCCCCATCCCTCCATACTCTATCTTATGGCCAATGTCACAGGGACAAGGATGCGCTTCGTTAGCCATTGGAGATAGTTAAGTTGGGCTATAGAGAGAGAAACATGCCTTATCTTCTGAATGGTGCAAATCTGAAGATTATGAACAGTAAATAAACTAAAATCAAGATTACAGAAAAAATATTAATTTTTACTCCTAGCATACTCATGGAAGAAATCAATGATGATATTTGGTCCATCTGAAGACGTTAAAGGAAACAACTTTATATTAGCTTAACGTGTTCTCACATATCTTTAATATGTGTAATATCTACGAGGTGCACTTTTATGTATTTTCTGGAAAGGGAAAAAAAAGAAATCAATGATCACCGCTCGTTTTGACCACAACATGGATTGGAGCTAATAAGGCTCCATCCCAAATGCAAAACACTGGAAATACCAGAGTGAATGTAACCATTGAATAAAAACAAACAAACAAAAAAAAATGGTGGAGCTCATAGGAAAAGGGAACGGCAGCGGAGCTAGAACAGGAGAGCAAACTGAAACCAGGGTCAAAACGGTGGGAGCAGATGCCGGTAGAGCCATAGAGCCAGGCAAAGCTGGAGACAGGCCAGACACAGGAGCAGCATAACACGGCCTGGATTCTGAGTCCAGCGAGGCCTTGGGGCCCCGTGAGATGGGATTTGCAGCTGAAACCTCTCCAAAAACTGTCAGCGCCCTCAAAGGTTCAGAGTTAGTGGGGAAAATAAAAAAATAAACAAACAACAACAAAAAGGGCAAACTGCCAACCGGGATAGGAATACGGTAAGGAAGCCCAGGAAGAGGAAAAAACGAAACCATCCCCCCAATTTACAAGGTCCTTTCCAAGTAGCAAGCAAAACCTGGGCTGAGACATTAACATGACAATTGGCCCCGGGCACCCCACAGAAGCAAAGGCAAATCCCCTTTACAAGGAGACTTTCACAGTCCAGACCAAAAACACTCCCCATGAGAAGGAACTCACTACAAAGCAAACGGTGATCGGGAGAAATTACAGTGACAACAGTGTGGGGAGAAATGAGGAAGGGACCTAACGAGTTTGACCCAACGAACAGAGAGCAGGAAAGGAGAAGAAAGGAACCTGTCAGAAAGGAACCTGTCAAGCACAGAGGGAGAAAGGCTGGCATAGATCCAAATAAATATACACAGATGAAATCCACGATTTGAGACAGATTCTCAAATTGAAGTTTTAAATGTCAAGGCAACATTGGAAAGGAGAACCTGAGAAACGGAACCCAAAATGTCCATAAACAGAAACTGACCAGACGTCTGGGGTTTGCGCTCAAGGAGCCCAGGGGGTGATGAAGGTGGGAGAGTTCCCGTGTCAGTGTCGGATCTGGGTGGTGAGTTCAAGAGCGTCTTTTGTACCAGTTTCTCGACTTTTATTCTTTTTTATTATTAAAACTCTTTTTCTTTCATTGATTCCAGAGAAAAGGGAAGGGAGGGAGAAAGAAAGGGAGAGAAACGTCAATGTGAGAGAGAAATTTCTATGGAAGCTGCCTCTTGCGTGCACCCCAACTGGGGACTGAACCCACAACCCAGGTATGTGCCCTGACCGGGAATCGAACCCTGGACTTCTAGATTTGCTGGATGGTACCCAACCAAATAAGCCACATTGTCCAGGGCTCTGTACTGTTACATATGCTTAAGATTTTCCTCAACAAAAAATATTTAATTTCTTCAAAATTTAAAAATAATACAATAAAAGCCTCCAAAAACAAAGCAGGAAAGGACACAGCCCTGATTGGTGTGGCTCAGTGGGTTGGGTGCCGTCCCACAAACCGAGGGGCCTGGTGTTCTCATCAGAAGAGGGAAATTTGGATACAGAGACAGACACACTGGGGAGAAGACAGAGGCAGGGGTTGGGGTGATGCACCTCTAAACCGAGGAACACTAAGGATGGCCGGCAACTGCCAGAAACTAAAACAGAGGCCGGGAGGGCTTCTCCTTCAAAGGTCTGAGGAAGAGCGTGGTCCTACCAACCCCTTCATGTAGGACTTCAGGCCTCCAAAATGGAATAAAATGTTTTTAAATCCTCACCCCAAAATATGCTTATGGATTGCAGAAAGAGAAGAGAGGAGAAAGGGAGGAAGGATAGGTGGAGCATAGAAAGGGAGAGAAACGGAGACATCAACGTGGAGAGAAGCATTGATCAGCTGCCCCTCCCAGGTTCTCTGGACCGGGATGCAGCCCACAACCTCTCCATGTGCAGGACGACGCTGCAACCGACTGGGCCGCCCGACCAAGATCGAAATGGAGTAAGTTCTTGAGAGAACAGATTTCTGTTGTCTTAAGTCACTCGGTTTGTGATAACTGGTTATGGCAACCTTAGGACACGCACACACAAAAACATGAAAAGAGTATTCTATAGCAGTTCAATGAACAAACTATAGATCGATATGACAAATCTCAAAAACATAATGCTATAAAAAACATCATAGCTTTTTTGAGGCTAAGTAAATACTAAAACCCCCAAACAACACTTATTTTATTTTTTAAATATTTTATTCACTTATTTTCAGAGAGAGGGCAAGGGAAGAAGAAAGGGAGAGAAACATCAATGTGTAGTTGCCTCTCATGTGTCCCCCACTGGGAACTGGCCCGCAACCCAAGCATGTGCCCCGACTGGGAACCAAACCAACATCATATGGTTCGCAGGCCCGCGCTCAATCCACTGAGCCACACCAGCCAGGGCAACACTTATTTTATTAATAAATATAGGACTTTAAAAATCTAACTCAAGAGAATAAAACACACTGTCATTATTAGACAGTGGTTATTGGTGAAGGAAGGAGATGGTTGGTTTTAATTGTATTTGTTATATTTTATTTCCTTAAAAAGTTTTGATCTAAAGTACAAAGGAAAAAATTAAAAATTTTATTTTTTAAAAAAGATTTTATGTACTTATTTTCAGAGACAGGGAAAGGGAAAGAAGAGAGAGAAATGTGTGAGAAAAACATCAGTTGGTTGCCTCTCACATGCCCCCAATGGGGAACCTGGCCCATAACCCAGGCATGTGCCCTGATAGGAGATCGAACCAGTGACCTCTTGGTTTGAAGGCTGGCACTTGCTCCACCAAGCCACACCAGCCAGCCAGGACTGAAAAATTTTTTCAAATCTAGTTCATGTGAAAATGGGTGGCAGCTATATTTCATTGTTTACTTTCAGGAACGTTCTAAATGTGCATAACTAGAAATGACATAACTAAATTTTAAGGAGAAAGAAATTAAGAGCTAGCCACTTGACCAAAGGAAACTTGACTGCATTTTCCATTGATTTGTGTTCATCAACTACCGATAGAACTATCACTAGTAAAAGAAGTCAGAACAGTCCAATATCAGTAGTATTGACTTTTATGTCCATTGCCTCCTTGCTGAGAACTGATTCCTGGGGCTGATTTCTTACCTGGGCCGTCCTGAGGATTCAGAGACCACAGAAAATCCTGGTCACTCCAGATGAGCCCTGAATCTGAATCTGGACCTTTTAACTTTATCTTTAATTGATACCCACATTCCAAAAAGAGTGTTTACAACCAGGAGACCCCCCTCCGAACTGATCCTACAAAGGCATTCTCCTGCAGAAAGGGTGGTGGCCAGGAGAGGCCTGGGGATGCTGTATGTAGAAGGCTGGGCTCCTGCCAGACCCTTCACATGGCACAGCCTGCTGGGTGACCAGGGCCAAGGTCACGGTGGACAGGGCAGTTTCTTTGGACTGTACTCCGTTGTGGGGTGAGAGCCGCAGGGAACATACCCTTGACACCTTACTGATGGACTACACTATGCAGAAATTTTCTACATGCAAAATATGCCTTTCAGCATTTTGGCTCTTTCCACATAAATGGCCCATTTGTTAAAAGATAACTTATAGGAAAAAGTAAAACCATGACCCTGACATAGATATAAATATGAATATAGTAGGGATTTTATTTTACACACACAACAGGAAAAAATGAGACAGATGTTATAACTGTACAAAGGAAAAAAAGAAAAGAGCACAAGTTTATGTAAGGTCAAGGAACATTGAGATGAATGTCAAATTGAGACAGGACAGAATTTACAAGTCCATCAGTTACCCATGATTTTCAAAGAATTGCAAAACTGTTCAAATACAATGAAAGCAGAAGGGTGTGCAGTGGACGATGGAACTGTTGAGCCATTTCATTGAAAGTGTTTTCTCCAACTTCCGGCCAAGATGCAGGTGTAAGTGTAAACATTGTGCCTCCTTGCACAACCAAAATTAAGGACAACAAAGATTTAGAAGCAAAAACACAACCAGAACAGACACAAAATTGAACTGTATGGAAGTCCAACAACCATTCAACCAGACTGGTAAGAGGGGTGAGGTCAGCAGCCGGCAGAGAGGGGTCATGGCAGGAAAAAGTGGTGGCTGGCAGACCCGGGCATGGGGAGGAAATGAGCAGACCCAGTGAGGTGCGCAAGGCAGTTGGCTGACTGGGGACACACATTCTCGCGCAGGTAAACAAGGCAAAAACAAGCAGCAAGACAGATTGCACAACCCAGGGCCCCAGTGATGGGAAATAAAGCCTAAAAGCACTGATTGAAAACACTTGTGGGGGCAGAGGTGCTGGAAGAGACTCTCAGCCTCACAGGAGAGTTCGTTGGAGAGACCCACAGGGTCCTAGAAGGTGCACAAGCCCACCCACCTGGGAACCAGCACCAGAAGGGCCCAATTTGCTTGTGGGAAGGGACTGAGATACAGGTGGAACAAGCACCATTGTTCCTTCTTTGACCTGCCCCCACATACAGTGTCACAACCCAGCAACCTGGGTTGCCTCGCCCTGATGAACACCTAAGTCTCCACTACTCATATGCACAGGTGAGACCTGACCAAAAAATTATGACTCAAACAGAAGAACAAATCAAAGCCCCAGAGCCAATACTTTTAAGCAACCAAGAGATAGCCAACCTATCAGATGTACAGTTCAAAACACTGGTGATCACGATGCTCACAGAACTGGTCGATTTTAGTCACAAATTAGAGGAACAAATGAAGGCTAAACTAAGTGAAATGAAGGGAAATGCACAGGAAAGCAATAGTGATGGAAAGGAAACTGGGACTCAAATCAATGGAGTGGACCAGAAGGAAGAAAAAAATGACCAAACAGAAAAGAATGAAGAAAAAAGAATTCAAAAAAATGAGAGAGGCTTAGGAACCTCCAGGACATCTTTAAACGTTCCAACATCCGAATTATAGGGGTACCAGAAGGGGAAGAGGAACAGCCATGAGTGGAAACCTTATTCGAACAAATAATAAAGGAGAACTTCCCCAATCTGGCAAAGGTAACAGACTTCCAGGAAATCCAGGAAGCTCAGAGAGTCCCAAAGAAGTTGGATCCAAGAAGGAACACACCAAGGCACATTATCATTACATTAGCCAAGATTAAAATGAAGGAGAGAATTCTAGAAGCAGCAAGAGCTAAGGGGACAGTCACCTGCAAAGGAGTTCCCATCAGACTGTCAGCGGATTTCTCAAAAGAGACCTTACAGGTGAGAAGGGGCTGAAAAGAAATATTCCAAGTCATGAAAGGCAAGGACCTACAACCAAGATTGCTCTATCCAGCAAACCTTTCATTTAGAATGGAAGGACAGATAAAGCACTTCTCAATTAAGGTCAAGTTCAAGGAGTTCATCATCACCAAGCCCTTATTATATGAAATGTTAAAGGGACTTATCTAAGAAAAAGAAGATGAAAAAGATGAACAGTGAAAGGACAGCAAACTCACAGTTATTAGCAACAACACCTAAAACAAAAACAAACTAAGTGGTCAGCCAGAACAGGAGTGGAACCATAGAAATGGAGATCACATGGAGGGTTAGCAACAGAGGAGTGGGAGGAGGAGACAGGGTGGGGAGGAGAAGGTATGGAGAATAAGTAGCACAGACGGTGGGGAGAATATAGACGGGGAGGCAAGAGTAGTGTAAGAAATGTAGAAGCTAAAGAACTTATGACACATGGACATGAACTAAGGGGCGGAATGTGGGTGGGAGGGGGTATACAGGATGGAGGGGATTAAGGGGGGAATAGGACAACTGTAATGGCATAATTAATAAAATATATTACTAAAATTTTTTTAAAAAAGAAGAAAGTTTTCTCTGTATGTCCTTTCTAGAGTCATTCATTGCGAGTGGGAAGGTTTCTGTTTCCTCCCAGTAGGGGATGGGACTGTGGTCCTGACGTGAGGTGAGGCCCTCATAGAATGTGCGTGAAGAATGGCTTTTCTGTATCATGGCAGATGGGTTTGGCAGCACACGCTGGTCACCCTGAGGTCAAACCTTTAGTCCCCACAGGTGAAGGCCTCATGGTGGCACCAGGGTTGGCCGACATATGCTTCTGCAGAGGACACCCTAGTGGGTACCTTCTTTGTCAATGCCACACTAAATTCACCACTAATGCCTGTGATTACCCATAACATTCATGCAAGCTGCCACATAGGTGTGAACGACTACAAAGCCCCCTCCCCTACAGACTGATGGTCCTTGACAAAAGTTTCTCTCCTTGACCCAAACTCCTCTGAACCCCCTTCTCAACTGGGCTCTGACTTTTGGGCTTCCAAGTTCATCTCTGCATTGTCAGTTTTAGTAAGAACCTGCTAAGTCAGTTTAGCAGAATCCTCCCACTGTCCATATCTGATCCATATCCTCACCCTCCACCATCCATGATCAGACACACCATGATGTCTGATCACCTTGGCTTTGTCTTCTGCCACAATCCTGTCAAGTCAATTTGGCTGGATTCCCTTAACCCTGATGTTTCCTTAGTAATTTTCCATCCACTGACCCCTACTCTGCTCTTTGGCTATAAAGCTCCAATTTTTCTCATATTCAGAGTTGAGCCCATTCTCTTTTCTATGGCAAAATCCCATTGCGGCGGTCCCTACACCTATTATGATAGTCCTCGATAAGGTCTGCCCTGCCGTTCTTTAACAAGTGTCTTGAATGAATAATTTTTTCCTGCACATCCTCCAGCCCTGGCTTCACACAGCAGGTGCCTCCCCAGAGTCACAAGTCAAGCCCCATGGGGATCACCGGTGCACGTTTGGTCTGCAAATCCAAGGAGTGGCCAGTCCTGGCTCCTCTCCTGAGGTATACTTTGCTGAGGCCGTCCTTACTCTATATAAATTTGTGCTTCTTGACTTCTTTTTTGAAACAGTTATAACAGCTGCCTGATTCCCTCTTTAAGGAATAAAACAGAACCTTTAACAGTGCTCATTTTAATCTCTGTATAAGAGTCATGATTTTTTACCTTACACTGAAAAATATCTTCTAATAATATAATTGAACAATAGTCCCTTTTTCTCACCAGAAGTCAGAAAGGCAAAAAATGTGTGGTAAAGCATGACAAGCAAGTGTGGTATTCCTACTTTCGCACCCCCAAGAATTTAAATAACTCGGAAGTCATACTTCCCAACGCAGTAACAATCTCCACAGGAAATGTAGAGAACAGATTTTGACCAGCGAAGAGGATGGGCAGAGACGGGGCTGTAAAAAGAAAGAAGTCTGGGGATAAATTTCTGGAAGCTTCGGAGATTTAGAAATAGAAACCACCTGCAAGCGCCACAAAATCAACACTGAAAGCTAATACACGAAGGGCGTTGGCTACTGGGAAGGCTCAGGTTATTTCCTTGACCGGGTAAACACTGGAGGAACGTGCCTGGGAACTGATTTTCAGTCTTGCAGGAGAAGACTGGGCCCTCCTTCTCCTTAGATGATTATGTGAATGTCAACTCGCCCAATTATTTATTTTTCAGCCATCATGTTTGCATTTTCCATAAGGTACAAGGTCCAGGCAGTATTAAAGTAGAAAGCCAGAGGTGATGAGCACAATGCTGACCTGGGAACGCGCCAATCACTTGGCTGCCTTTGACCTTCCCTTGGGCTGCTTCAGGCCTAGATAGGATTTCCCCAGATGCACGCAGGGCTCACTTCTGACCACCTTACTTTAAATGGGCTTTGAAGGTGTCAGGTGGCATTTTCCATCAGCAAGAAACCTAAATGGCAGTACCCTATGTTAGCAAGGCCTGGGCAAGGCGACACTCCTGCCTCACGACCCATGCGGCCATGGGTGTGGACTGTGCAGTCTTTCTGGGCAGCACGTACCCAGCAGCCAGGACGTCTTGCTCCTACACCCAATACCTCCTCTCTTAATATCCACCCTTAAAAAACGCTGCCAAATGATCTTGACACAAATATGGTCATGTTTCCCCGTACCTTTACATCAGTAGCAAAAAGGATGCAACCAAAATGTTTAACTGTAGGAAAATAGTTATAAAGCGTACTCGATGGCAGGAAGGAAAGCTTTTGACCAGCCTCTGGGAAAACGAACACAGGTTTATATACAGTATGATTTCAACTATTTCTAAAATGTATGGTTAAACAGTACAGGAAAATTTACCCAGGTGGAATGGCGGGGGTTGCTTTTCTGCATTGACAAGGTACTGCTTTGATAAAAGCCAGGTTTTGAAAACGGACTTCGACAGGCTTATCACCCGCGCGCATGGCAAAGACCCTCCTTGCCTCCTGCAAACACCCGATCGATTAAGAGCGGAGGGGAGCTCCCAGCGCGGCTCCCTCTCGGGAAGCGCACGTACCTCTTCCGCCGGCTGGAAACTGCCTACTGCGCAGAGGGGGCAACACCGGGAAAGGGCAGCGCCGCAGACCCACGGATCCCCGAGCCACGGTCAGGGGCGAGCCGAGTAGGAGGCGCCTCCTTCCCGGGCGGAAGTGGACGCGGTGACCGAGGGCGGCGGGCTCTCTGCGGGCCAGTGGCAGTCCCGGACTCCCTGCACCCGGGGAAGGCGGGGCGCCTGGCGCGGGCAGGGGAGGGGCGCCCCGTTAGGAGAGGCGCGGGAGGTGGACGGGAGGAGGGAGGGAGGGGAGGGAGGGAGGAAAGCTTGGAGAAGGAAGAGTGTGCCTGGTTCCTAAAACCTGTAACTTCTGTGTTGTAAATCAAAATTAGGGTATTCTTAAAAATAGATTATCACATATTCTCACTTGCCTTCTCCCACCCCCACTCCATATTTTTTCTGGTCATCTAACTAAGGTTGTGATAACTGTCTTTGTAAGAAACCTAAAAGACAGAAAACTGTAATCGAACAATTAAAATAAAAATAAAAAAAAGAAACTTATAAATCTATCTGTACAGAATTTTTATGAGTTTGATCCAAACTGAGGACGATTATTGAAAAACAAAATTTCAAGGGTATTGAGAAAATGCTCTGGAGAAGGGCAGTTTTGCAATGTACTTTGTACATTAGAATAAAAGGAGACGTAAGGAGGGTGACCTGAAATCCACCTGTGATAGATTGAGGGGGTAGGAGAAAAGCAAAGTGGGCAAATGTGTGGGATTGGACAAAAGACAAAATGGAGAGACACATACTTCTGTTACTTTGGTGGGTACAGGATTGGTCCATAGCACTGATAGCACACAGAGATGGTATAAGGGCAGCATACTAACCATGCGGGGTTCGGGGCCTCCTGCTCTGGTGCTGGCGGTTGTGCCTTCAAGGGCTCTGTAAAAGATTGCTCTGATGTTTCGAGGTATTTTATCTTAGGTGCATAAAGACAATAGACAGGCTAGCTTAAGGTAGCAACTGATGTTCGTCAAGGAAGCCATAGACCTAGGATACGGGTACCTACCACGAGCTGCTTTTAGTTAGGAATTTAAGATCAGACCATCCTATGTGGTTCCTTTCAGTCTCTGGGTGTTTGAGGCCTGCCCCAGGTCTATAACTTCAGTGAAAGTTCTTTGTTTGTTTGAGGGAGGGAGGGAAACATCTTTGCTAGGGAGAAACATCAATCCATTGCTTGCCCCTTGTGCGTGCCCCCAACCCAGGCATGTACACGCTGCCAGGAAAATTGAAATGGGAACCTTACACTTTGTGGGATAACGCCCGCCCGCACCAGCCGGGGCTAGTGGAAGGTCTTAGGTTAGCTTTGACTCTTGTTCTCGTGCATCCGGGTTAATGCTCCTTTGAAATGCCAGAAGTAACACTGCTCAAAAGGGGCATTAGCCCTCAAAAGAGGACCTGATCTTGTTAACTCCCCTGTAATCCGATCCCCGCCTTGCTTTTTCCTCCCTCCAAGTAATCTTCCCCACATTCCCTCCTTAATTTCCGGTGCATAAAAGAAGCTGCAAAACTGTTATTCTCTGGAGCGTTTGAGATTTTTCTCTCTGGAATATGTCATCAGTTTGCCTAAAATAAGCTCATAAAAATTCTCTGTAGGTTTGGACATGCTTACGTTGACAGGATCACATGTCATCTTCTAGTTGATGAGCCTTGTTTTCACATAGAATCTGAGGTTTCTGAAAACAAAAGCTGTAAGCATTCTCCCTTTTCACACCAGAGCCCAATGAGTGGACAGCTTCTAGCCGCATCAATTTTTGTTAACTCCAAGACATGTCCCTTCTGTTTGGATTCAGTTTCCTCAACCATAAAATGAGAGATTCAACAGGATTCGGTTCTCAGACTTTAACCTGCATCGGAGGGAGTCCCCTGGAGGTCTTGTTAAACCACAAGGCGCTGGGCTCCTACCACGGAGCCTTGGTTCAGGACGCCTAGGGTGGAGCCCAGGAATCTGCACGTCCAATAAGATTCCAGGTGATGATGCTGATGCTTCTGGTCCAAGGACCATACTTTGAGAGCTACTAGACCAGAATCACAGTGATTAGCAGACTCGCTTGATCATCAAAACCACCCAGGGAACTTGTGAAATTCAGATGTCCTGGGCTCAGACTCACTGATCCACAACTTTCAGGGGTGGCACTGGGGAATCTGTATTGATGGACCGGGTTTAACCAATTGAACTAGAAAATTTGGACACGGCATGTCACTGTCAACCTGACATGATTTAATGTTGTAGGTTCAGCCGAAGGACGGCAAATACAACTCTCAGGATGGAACACTCCTTGTAGCTTGCTCTGACCGGAAATATACAAGAAAAAGGAATTCTGGGAAAAATAGCTCAACCTAGCCAAGTGGGCGCGTTAGCAAACCATCACACCATGGTGGGAACTCTCCAGTCCTGCCCACTGCAAAAGTGTTATCTTGCTGGAGATACGGAGATGGACTCCTTTCACACCCCATTGGGAAACATCCAATGACAAACTATTTTACTGCCTTCAGATTTTTCCAGAATAATTGGTGTTTTATTTTTACATCTGAATAATTAAAAGAAGTCACCAGAGCATTATCCCCCAGAGCAAACTGAGGCCCAAGAACAAATCCTTATTTCCACCCTAAAATGCACAACACTGTTTGCAACACCTAAAATGACCGTTTTTCAGCTTCACCGATTTTAGTTCCAAACTCCGCTGGAAAATTTGTCACACAAGTTAATATTTAAACCAGGGTAAAAAAAAAATTAAAAGTTACATTCTAAAAAAAAAGTTACCTTCTTATCGAACTTGGTGTAAGTGAACACTAGGGTTTCGTGAAATTCCACAGTACATTAAAGAGCTCTGACTCAGCGGTCACAGCTGGTTCTCCCTCCGCCATTGTTTTATTTTTCATTTTGAAATAAGGGACTAAATTCCAGAAACTGAACAAGCCCAAGCTGAGTTAACAAACAGAGCAAAGGCAAAGTTAAACAAAACTGCCGACTCTGCTACAACCTTGTGATTGACACTGGTCTTGAGGGTAAGGTCAGGAAAAGTATTTCATGGAGCTGCTCCTCTAAAGAGTTTTGGATCAAAATCAGAAAAAGTGCTGGTGTGTTTCAGAACATCTCAAAATACCTGAGGGACAGCCTATTCCAGTTCATCTGTTACCATTTATGGGGCGCTGGTGCTGACTCAGCCCCCCACCCTGAACGTAGCTGTGTGGGCCCAGCAGGAAAGCACTGAGTGTTGTGTGGGGGCAGGCGGTACTGCTGAAAGCAGGTCAGAGGCTGGATAGGAAAGAAGGTAGCTGGTTTCTAGAAGATTCTTGAGCCCATAAGCCATCATCTCCAGAGAGACAGAAAGCTTACATTCTCTTTTCTTCTTTTTATTATGAAAATTTACAAATGCAGCGACACCTTGCTACTCGATGATTTGTTCTGGAACTCCTGACGATTTCTGAGTGCCGAAACCCAGAACCCAGGAGGACCAAACAATGAGGCACTTTCCTTTTCAGGGCAATGTTGTGACTCATACAAACCCTAGCAAGTGCCACAAGTCCTGAGCAAGCGCCAAGTGCTTTGAAGAGAAACATTTTTTTCCTCTTCAAAAAGAGACAAGTACAGGGTTTGACAAGCTCTGAAGCCGACAAGAACCAAGGTATGACTCTATGTAGTAAAGTAGTTTGCTACATTTGCTTCATCAGTTTCCTTTTTTTTATTTTATTTTGCTGAAGCATGTAAATTATAGAGAACATAACATTTCACCCCTAAACAGTTTTACAGTAGTCAGCATTCAAGATGACTCACAACACCTCTTGCCTCTGGGAGCCCACACCCTTCCCAGGTTTTACAAGGGCTAGTCGGTGTGGCCAGTAGAATCCAGAACTAGAGAGGGTATGTCTTTTCTAGTATTAGGTTATAAAAGACACTGTGGCTTCCACCGTACATTCTCATTCCCAATCTCTCTCTCTCTCTCTCTCTCTCTCTCTCTCTCTCTCTCTCTCTCTCTCGTCACTTCCTCTGGGGGACGTCAGCTGCCCTGTCATGACTACTAACTACCATGAAAGTCCATGTGGCAAAGAAAGCCTCTGACAGCAGCCCTGTGCCTGGGCTGTCACGGTCAGGGATCCTCCAGCCCCAGTCACGTTTCACAAGACAGCAACCCCAGCCAACTGGAACGTAAACTTGATAGTAACCTCCTTAGGGTCTCTGGGCCCGAACCACCTGGCTGAGTCACTGCCTGTATCCTGACCCTCAGAAACAGAGCAAGATAATAATTTTTATTGTTTTAAGCTGCTAAATTTTGGGCTACATTGTTACACAAGAGATAGTTAATACGCATTTTGATACCTGCAAGGGGGATGCTACCTGCCAAAAACTTTAAGATGTGGGAATGGCTTTGAAACTGGGCAAGGGGCTCCGTGGAGAGTGTGAGTAAAAGCCTGAAGTGCCTTGAAGAAAACACGAACAACAGAGTCAGTTTCTTTAAAGAGTCAGGTCAGAGCTTTTTAGGAAAGTGAGGCGAATGCTATTAAGAACTAAAGGAAGGGGCCCTGGCTGGTGTGGCTCAGTGGTAGAGTGCCAATCTGCAAACCAGAGGGTTGCTGGTTTGATTCCCAGTCAGGGCACATGCCTGGGTACGGGCCAGGTCCCCAGTTGGGGGAACATGAGAAGCGACCACACATTGATGTTTCTTTCTCTCCTTCTCTTTCTCCCTCCCTTCCCATCTCTTTAAAAATAAAATCTAAAAAAAAAAATTACCTAAAGGAAGGGGATCCTGGTAATGCTGTTTCCTGCCGTTCTGTGGACAGAATAAAAACACATCTAATGAACCTGTGATCTGGTTAAGGAGCTTTGAACCCTAGAGTCGAAAATGCTGCCTAACTTCTAATTGCTAGAGGAGACAGATAAAGGAAAGAGATGGGTATTAAGCAGAAAGGAGCTACAACTGGATGGGTTTAAAAATTCTCAGCCTTTCCAGATGGCAAATTATGCAAGAATTAAAGAATGGCTTCCAAGCAGAGATCAAATTCAGGGCTCTGCCAGAAAAACTGTGAACCAGAGATAAACCCTAGTGTGCCTAAAAAATCATTTTTAAAACATTCAGAAAGATATAGGCAGTATTCCAGAGTACTATTCAGTCAGACAAAAAGGGCCTCTAATGAGATCA